AATAGTCATGTTCCGCTGCGGACGAAGGGGCGTGTCAGAGGGGATGAGTTTGGCGCGGTGCCAAACCCGTTCTCCACCAGTTGTTGAAGCGAGCAAGTGACAAGTTGTATCACATCGTTCGTATCACTCGTTTTCTACCAGTGTTGTCGCATACCCCTTCACAACTGGCAGAGAAGGGTTTGGCGCCGTGGCATACTCATGCTGCCTGACACGCCCCTTCATCTGCAGCGTACCAGAGTACAACTCCACAATTCTCCGACATTCCAATGTCCCAATGCACGAACGCGGCGTATGGTTTTCACTGTTACGGTCTCTACAGTGGAATTTTTGAAAACTTGGCGAGGTTCCCAAAACCACTTCTTTTCTTGCGCTTCGCACCCCACGAAGGGCCACTCTCCAGTGAAGCTTAACCACGCCATGTTCCAACGGCTCAAAGCCATGCCATGTTGTCTACATGAGAGGGTAACATATTCAGATGCTGATTAATCCATGTCAAAATATATCGTGCAGCTTCGGTGAGGGGGCAAGGACGAGGAGAGATAACGTGGCTAACTCGGTCTACAGGCAATCAAGACAAAATCCCTCGAGTCGATTGTCTATTCTTTCTCCGCGTTCTCACGTCCACATGACACTCTGTCACCACTGTGACCTTCCGAATCCCAACTTTTCACGTCTGGTAGGTGGCTCATCCCACCCGAAGTTCCCTCGATCTGAACAAGCTCATCCCGTGGCTTACGTCATGTATTGGCACCTTTCGATGGTGCGCCGCAGTGCTCCGTTTCTCCTCACTGTGGTCTTTCGCGCCGGGATCAACACTGAAAGTTTCAGTTGTCACGTAACGGCTAACTCAGAGAGTAGCCCTCTGAGGCACACAGCGCCCTTTTCTGATTTCTCCTACTTACAGCGCCGATGCACACTAAAGCTGAAGTTCAAACACGGTTCGTTATCGATGATCATGTTCAATGAAGAGATTCCCGTATGGAGATCAGCAATCGCAACGGCTCATGATGGTCTGTTACAAAGTCGGCTGCACTTCATTGGAATTCATCGGAACGCACTGGCAATAGAGCGACTAGACAAAGCCATCAAAAAGTTGGAAGAAGTCGACGCAGCTACTGATGAACGTTGGTTTTTTTCCGAAATAGATCGATCTCACACTATGAACAACTGGCGTGACATGACATTCATTTCTGCAGTTAACTATCAATCATTAGTACTTTGAAATGTTAACCGGAAACGAACCCTAAAGGCAAATGGCAATGTGTAGTATGACTGCTGATTCGAGGTTAGTCGCCATTGTGGCTCAAGAGGGTATAGGAGAAGTGCTGCACACCAACGGAAAAGGAGCCCAAACTGCTTGGGTCTCCTCCATCCATGCCAGTGGAATCCTTATAACCTGGTTAGGACTGTAAAGAGATCCTAGTAAGTTCAATAGAGACCTGCCAATGGCACTATCCACGGTGGTGGGATGTGGAATACTGGAGTATGACTATATTGTCCAAACAGCTGGACAGTTTGTATGCTTCACAATCAGAGAGGGCCAGATGGCAGCCCTCCAGGACTCTGCACCAGAGTGGCGCGACCCGTGGTGATAAGCCTGTTCAGGCGGGCGATGGCTTCACTTGTGACGGTGGAGGCAGAAGTAAAGCGTTTGCCCCTGCTTATAGAAGAGCATCCGAGGCATACTTAATGCAAGTGGCACCATAAATCCCCAAGACGTGTAGGATTAATACGCCTTGGCGCTTTTTCCAAGGGAAGTTACTCTTATAGGGCGCTATCAAGCTGCAACATACCGACCCTGACGCCCAAAGAGCCCCCCCTCAAATATAGCGCGTGCTAATGCCGCTCGCATACGCTTCATTGCCGAACGTACAATGTAAAGCGAAAGGGATTGATATGAAGCGGCTGCGGTGCTGCATGGATATATGAGTACATACAGCAGCCGTATCTACCGTAGCGGTTATTGGCACGATGCCAATAACCATCGAAAATGAAACTCATCGAAAATGGCTGTCATGTAGAACAGAGGCTTTTCTGCAGGTTTTTGACCTCAGTTCGCTTTCTCGCCTTTATCCCCACTATACAGCACTCCCACTACCATTTTTGACCGAGTACTGAATTATCGTGCCCTATGCCTTCAACTTGCGTCCCTCTGCAGGTTGCCGTCTGTGCGATGGCAACTTCGACCAAGTAAGCATCGCGCCTTTTTTGCCCCCCCCCCCCCCCATTCTTTTAGGACCATGCTAGATGTACTCTAGCCGATCCTATTTCTTGCCGTAGCCGAAGAGAAACCGTTTCAGACCTCTCAACTTCAAGATCGCCCGACGGTCAAGATTCAGCGGCTAGTATCAGGACATGTATCGATGCTGAAGGTGTCATTGAACCAATGGAAAGCAACAGCGAAGTCACAGTTGATATGCCAGAGGAGAGCGAGCCAAATACTGTGATAGAAGCGCAGCAAGGCACTAGCGCTTCCACTAAAAAGCCACATCCAACGATTGTTATTACTCAAGATGACAACGTGAGTAGTTCCGACTTAACTGCAATGAGCTCAGCTCATTTTCATTGAAATAGCGCACTTTTAGTCTCAATATGAAACATTTGATCCAACAGTTTGCGATTCCTCTTACCAATGGCTCCATCACGAAACCAAGAAGAATGCCAATGCAGATCAGGCGCAAGTCTGCGTCTCAGACTCATCCAACAGCGGTCTGTTTACGGAACTGACCGACGGCGACAGAAGCAAAGTCGAATCAGCGTAAGCGACTCCTAGCTATCAAAATGAAACACTATTGAGGATATAAGATGTGTTTAAGGAAATCTGTTCGCTGCGGCTACACGTCAGTGGCCATTCTTCGATCACGACTAGAAGCTAAAATGCAGGGGAAAAGATTCCGAAGAGTACCGAAACCTACCCGGATCCCTGCACCGCTCTTGTCACATGACGTATGTTTTCTTCAGTCTTGCTAAGAAAGAGCGTATCCACTTGCGGAGAGGGTAGGCATATAGGAAGCGCGTGTCTTGAAGCCAGCGGAACGCTAATTAGACTGGTGGTTAAGATGAAAGTAGGAGTGCAGGATGAATCAAGGTAAAGGAAAAACGAAAAGGACCAACAAAGCGAAACGAGTTTCTTGTCCTTACTCGTTGATTTCGAGCGAAGAACGAGTTCATTTATCGTGACATCATCAACCACGAGAGAACGTCAGCGCGGAGTCCTGCCCCTCTGTTGCAAAGCATAGAGAGCAGAAAGTTGAATGCTGTTTGATGGTTATCAGGAGGCGAGCAAAATCAAAGACACACAAGTCAAGGTTTACTAGGTCGTTTCACGCGTCCTTCGCTGCTACACCACATCGCACAAACACTCAAGCTAAGATATCGTTAACCAGACTTCGTGATGACGCGCTGCGAGTCGCTATAGTCGCCACAGCCTCCAAAAGCTATGGACGCCAAATGCGGCGCGCCCATCAATCTGCTGCGCGAAACGCTCGATCGATGGGTCGCTGGCGTTCTCGAGAGTTTATGGCAAACAGATGGTAAGTGTGTGCCTAGTCCGCCCAGACCGATCGATCGCACTGGCCGTCTTCGCGTGCGTCCATACTCTAGAAGCGCTGTTGCAATTATGCGGCATAGCGCGTCGACACGCCGCATCGGCGAAGCTTGAAGCTAAGGAAATGCTCATATGAACAACTACATCTTTGATCTATTCGCGACGAAGCGAAAATTATTACAAACCACTGGATCAAGGCAACTTGGTCGACCAATCGTCCCAAAGAAATTGTTCAAAAGGTGACCTACTAATATACTTATTATTACACTTATTGCAGAGCGCTCGAGGGAACGCAACTCAAATAGAAGAGCTCCCTGCCAATAAAGACATCATATCAACCGAGACCATCTCCTTTGCTGAAACCGCGTCCGGTCATTAGATCTCAATCGGAATCCGACTTGGAAGCAGCACTTAGAAGTCGTGGTCTGCAAGAAGCAGCTCGCAACGACTCGCTTCTTCAAGTCCCCCACTCCGACCGCGCCCTTCCGTCACAACGTCTGACGGCCGCAACAATCTAGGATAAAGCGTTTCATTGGACTATACGCGTGCAAACCACAATGTGGCACATCCGCTGCGATGAAATTATTCTGAACTAGTAGTAAAAGAAGACCTTCAATCTTGGCATGACACGAAACACACATACAATCGTAAGGTTGCTATGACTTTCTGACCTATTGCAAACTTAGCCAGAGCGTTTCTCATGAGGCTCAGGTCAGCAGATTTGGCGATTGTAAATCATAGGAAGTTCGGTTTAATCACTAACTTGTGGGTGCTAGTTGACTTACGATTGAAGAAAAAGGGTTGAGTCCCGGCTTAGGAAACGCGCAGAGCAACCCGCTTTTTCGCAGTTGCTTTTGAGCACTAGTCGAGCATGCGATCTAGCGAGAGGCGATGAAACATCGAGCGGGCAGCCGCGCGAGAGTGGCACAACGGCACATGACACGGGGTGTCGAGTTTTACTTCCCAGCGAGTGCGACGAAATAAGCGTTGCAAGTAGGGTGAGCTACGAAGTATTCGTACCAGGACCCAGTCCAGGCCGCAAAACCAGTGCTCGGCGCGCCTACCCTCGCGCCAACTCTCCCGAGTTTCCGCGTCTGCGTCTCCCAGTCGACTAGCTCCCTCTGAGCCTGTTTTTGTCCAGACAGCTTGCTAGGAAATACTCTGCTAGGGTTACAGAGTTCCCATCAACAGGACATGCTCTCGCTGCGAGGGTCCAGAGGTATTTTCTTATCGCACCAGCTGGCCCAGCAGAAGAAGGGACAAGGAAAAGGAAAAGGGAAGAGAGAATGAAGGAGAGGAAGGAGGGAGGAGAGAGGCTTCGAGGTTGACAAGTGTCCTGAGACGACTCTGTTAGTGCGCGCGCTGCCCTGCTGAGCTTAACCGCTTGCGAACGAAAGAACTACCTCTAGAGTTTGCGGGGTGTGTCTTAAACACGGCCGTGTTTATGCAAACATTCACTGTGACAAGTATACGTACTTAAAAATTGAATTCAAAAGTGCTGTCAGCTGATTGATTTAGCTCGACACCAAGATTGGTTTGAATTCAAAAGTTATAACGGCGCGTGGTGATACGGTAACTTGTGTAACAAAAGTGAAATTCACGAATTCCAATCCATGAAATCGAGAAAGAAACAAAAAATGAGCCTCACCCATCCTTCCTTTTCCGTATAAAAATAAGCCCAAGTTCTCGCATATGCATTATTAGCGTGGTCTGATCTTCTGTCCAATTACTGTTGATTTCAAAGGCAGTTTGTGAGAAGTCTCCACCTGCGGATCCGAAATATCATCCTCTCAGCACAATAACGTGTACAATGAAAATTGATTAACCTCTGACGACACATAGAATCACTCTGATAAGCAGGTCCAAAACAGGCCTAATGTCTCGCCCCTTGGAGGACTCCAATTTGAAATACTCTGAAACGAACCAAGCCAATTAAAAATGCGAAGTAACTCCACGGAAGGTACCGATACATTTCAAAACCTCACCAATCATATATGTCCAAAGCTGGTGAACAGGACTCAGCAACAAAAACTGGAATCCAGCCGAGGTGATTTCAAGATCCGCCGAGCCATCGTTGTCGCTTGTGAAGCCCGCCGCGGAGAATAATTCACGTGTCGTAGCCGATACTGAGCTCATGTTCTTGTCTGAAGGCAGCGCCAGGTACCTGTGCAAAAGCGAAATGTGTACTTTATCTCGAGAAAGTGCAGACAATAATGAACAGCTCCACAGGGCCACTAGTAACGAAAAACCATTTCCCTGCGGCTGTTTTGCTCACATCTGGACCGAATTATGGTGGATGGCTCATTGCGAGACTTCTGCTCACGATACGTCAGGTCACGGGAAAACTCTGTATGCCCTCAATTTCTTGCTTTGCCAAAGATATGGTTCTTCAAGCTGCTTCCCCTATCTCACTGTCAAACTTGACTCTTCGTTCTCCAGAAAACAGTCATGCTACAAGTCGTTAAAACAGCTGCATCGGCTGGCGATACACTGTTTTCATAATCTAATCTCCTAACCCTAAATTACCGCGCTGGCTAGATACTGCACAACTTTCTGTAGAATAGAATTTCCCGAGAAGGAAGCCAACAGTCATCAAGAGCCACCTTTCATCAAGCAATGAAAGTCAGCAGCGAGTCACGAACGCTTCGCGCTAAAACCGATGGCACGATCACACGTGAATCGAATGGGTCAGTGAGACTTAGAGTACAAAACCGTATTCTACAGCCAATGTTGTATGTTCTTGAAACTTTACTTCCGTTCTCTAAGAAATCATCCATGACGATGTAATGAAAACACTTTCTTAACGAGTCGCGTAAATAAAGTTTTTTTTAGAATCTGCTCCACTAAATGATTACCCCCATTGATTCTGACTACATTACTGAGCCTGAAAATACGCATCCAATAAACCAATGACAAGCCAGCATATGATATCCACCTATTTCGAAGAAACTGGTAACCATCTGCTGGAACCACTGATAGGAAGGTCACGAAAAACATACCTCAGTATACATTCCCATCTTTCAGCAGCCTTCTTTCCGAGTTCTTTTTCGTTTTGCCGTCGCTTCACATCCACTTCGACTGAGTTGATTTTCGCACATTTTTGGGAGCCTAGCATAATGGACCGTAAGTATGACTGCCGAAAGACAGGCTAAAATTATGAGCACATAAAAAACAGGTATGTAGGATCAATGGGAGATGGAGAAATCAATATACTGCCCACTTCCAGTGAGATATAACTTACATGTAATTTATCGCTACTTGTAACGAGACCAAGGTTTCTGAGCAGTTTCTGAGCGGCTTCGATTTCGGCCGAGGAAGATTGTTGCACCATGGCGCTACTGTAATGTTATCATTGAAAAAGTGTTCATTTCATAGTTCGTCCCTGCAAATCTTACATCAGGAAGACCAGAACTCTTTCCCTTAATGTTCATGACACCACCTATCTATCC